CCGCCCCGCCCCCGTGCCCCCCTGCCCCCCCAGCCCCGCCCCTCGCATCCTCCCATCCCCCACCCCACCTGCATCCCCGGCATCCTCCCGCTCCTCCATCCCCTCCCGGATCCCCCTTCCTGGGCACCGAGCCCGGAGCCTCCTTCCCGTCCCCAAACCCCCCTATCCCGGTCAGTTCGGGTGCCCGAGCTCGGCCTTGCACCTGCAGCGAGGGCTCCGAGCGCCGCCGCGCATCCCGCGCTCCTGCAGACAAAGCATCGCTGCCTCTCCGCGCCACCCTCCGGGCTCCCTCCGCCTTCCCCGGGCTCCCTCCGCCTCTCCCGGGCTCCCTCCGCCTTCCCCGGGCTCACTCCGGGCTCCTCTCCGCACCCTCCGGGTTCCCTCCGCCTTCCCCGGGCTCCCTCCGCCTCCCCGATCCCCCCGATCCCCCGGTGCTGCCCTAACCCCGAACAAGTCTCGTGTTTGTTTATCTCTCCCTGCTTTAACCGAGCTCGGGGAGCCCCTTTCCCCAAGCTCGGCTCCTCCCCGCCGCAATTAATGGTTACAGTTATTAACTGCACAATGCTCGGCTGTTTGGCCGGGTTTTTTGTTTAGTTTTTTTTTCTCCTCCTCCTCCTCCCCACCCCCCCGTTTCTGCGCTCTTTGCCAGCGCGGGAGGAGGGAAATGCAGCTGGAGGGGTTCGAGGGAAGCAATCCCAGTTCAGCCAAGGCAGCACTTGGTGAAAACTTGCACAAACATCTCTTGGCTGGTGTGCTGGCCCTGGAGAGCATCCAGCCTTCATGCAAATCCTCCAGATAAACAATTATTTATTTATATTTATTTATTTTAGAGGATAGAGGTTGGAAGAGCAAACTGTTGTGTAATTTTTTGTGGGGGGAGAAGCTTTCCCCACTTCTTCCTGCTCTTGACCCTGAAATTTTTGCAGCCCCTCTGCTGTGCTTTGCCAGGATGCCCCAGCTGGCATCGCTTCCCTGAGTTCATCAGGAATCCTCGCTGCTTTTCCTGCCTCTGCCATTCCCATCTATTTATTTGTATTTCAGTTTTGTGGCTGAGTGCCCCAGTTCTGGCCCCACTCGTCCCAGGAGCAGCCAGGACAGCCAAAATCAGCCCCACACCCCGGCTTCAGCAGCCCCAGCATCTCTGGGATTGCGCTGTGACCTTCACCACCTCCAAAAAATAAATGGGCTGGATTCATTTTCCCTGGCTGCCCTTCCAGCAGGAGAGCTGGATGTCACCTGCTGGTTTATGGTGGCTGCACCCAGCGCCTCTCCCATCCTCAGGGCAGCTTTGCTCTGCTGGATCTGCCTGACAGATGTCGTGGAGCTCCTGGAAAACGCTTCCCAGCAGGATTTTTATCCGTGAATGATAAACACAGCAGGTTTCCCCTTTCCAGGAGTGGATGGAGGCTGGAGGTTGGTGTAGGTTTGCCACAAATGTGTCTGCTGGAGCTCAGAGTTTATCTGAGTTTCCTGCCTGCCTGGAGATTGGTTGGATTGCTCCCAAATTGCCAACGGCGCTTGGCACGGGATCCTGGTGCTTGGCAAAAGGGGCTGGAACCAGGAGCTTGTGCCAGTGGGAATTGTGTCCAGCAGAGCCAGGTGTCCCCAAAAGGGCCAGGACAGAGCCAGGACAGGGGTGATGCTGCAGGAGATGAACATTTCATCCCAACCCCCATCCCAAGTCAGCTCCCAGATTCCCAAGGCTGGGAGCGATGCCAGCGGGCGGGAGCTGGGAATGCTGTCCCTGTGAAAGTGTGGGAAAGGACTGGCAGAGTTTTCATGTGTGTCTGCTTTTGTCTTCCAGCGGGGCAGAGTCCCTCTCCTCGGATGAAAAAGGTACAGGGATTTGGGAAAATTCCTATCTTTGGGAATGGGAATGGGAATTCTAGACCTGGCTTTAAAAACCAGTGGAAAAGGTGCAGGGATTTGGGGAAATTCCCATCCTTGGGAATGGGAATGGGAATTTTAGAACTAGCTTTAAAAACCAGTTGAAAAGGTGCAGGGATTTGGGGAAATGCCCATCCTTGGGAATGGGAATGGGAATTCTAGACCTGGCTTTAAAAACCAGTTGAAAAGGTGCTGGGATTTGGGGAAATGCCCATCCTTGGGAATGGAAATGGGAATTCTAGAACCGGCGTTAAAAACCTCGGTGTAAACCCTTTGTTTATGGATTATTTTGGGGTTTATGCTGATTTTTAAAATCCCTGTTCTGTTGTTATTTATTCCCTTTCTCTGAGTACAAAATTGGCAAGGGAAGAGTCAAATCCTTCTCAAACTTTTACTCCCTGCTTTTTTCTTGCAGAGGTGGCACCCAACGGCGTGGAGGGATCGGGATCAGCCGAGGAGCACCCGCAGGGTGAGCACACCATGGCTGAGGGATTTCCTCACTCCTGGGATGGTGTGGCTGCTCCTGCATCCCAAATTTCCCCCAGAGCACATCCCTGGCTTTCCAGTGCTGGTTTCTCTTCAATTGACGTTTGGAAGAATAATGAAATCGAATTTGGTGCATGCACACCTGGTGGGACACACAGCTCCCACCAAGGCTGCTCCCACCTGCCATGGAGAACCAGAATTTAACAGGCATGTGCCGTGGGAGAAGCTCCAAAATGATCCCAGCTTGTAGAAAACATGAGAATTAAATATTAAACATGAGAATTAAATATTAAACATGAGAATTAAATATTCTGAACACCCTTTGGAAGGGCCTGGGTGACCCCAGAATCTCCCCTGGTGCTGGGATTTGATGCTCTGGTATTTTTCTCTGCCTCAGTATTTCTTTTTTTTCTGTTCCATCACCTAACCTGCTGCCTGGCCTGATGGATCCAAACCTCTGGATGGATCCCTGGACTCACGTTCCACCTGTGCCTGTTTTTAAGGAGAAGCCAGTTCCGAAGGCAGCTCCAGCAGCAGTTCAGAAGAGGAGTCAGGTGAGCAGAACATTGTGATTTATTTACCTGTAATCCCTTTTTTTAGAGCTGATGTTCAGTTTAAACCAGCTGCTGGGTATAATCTCACAGTTATTAGGGAATACTAACTCTGATTGCTTTCCCACTAAAATTTTGGGGGGCCAGTGACTTCCTATCAATGCTCAAAGGGCAGCACCTCAGAAGAAGAGTCAGGTGAGCAGAACATTGTGATTTATTTATCTGTTTGCTTTTTAAAAACTGATGTTCAGCTCAAACCAGCTGCTGCTCCTGGGAAAAGCCTCACAGTTATTAGGGAATTCTAACTCTGATTGCTTTCCCAATAAATGTTTTGGGAGCCAGTGATTTCCTGTCAGTGATCAAAGGGCAGCAGTTCATGCTGCTTTCACCTCACACACTCAACACCCAGACACAATACCCACGGGTTTTTTTACACCACAGAATTGTCCAAACACCAAGAGGCCACAAATTTCCTCAAAAGTTGGCAACAGAGCTGGCCAAACAGGATGGACAGGAAAAGAATTAAAGGAAGTGTTTGCTGTTGGTGGGTTTGCGCTTCCATGGCTCTGCTGGCAGCTGTACATTCTGGTTTTATGTAACACTGATAATTAAACAATTGCAATGTTATTTTTTCTGTGCAGATACAGAGGAGTGGGATGGAGGAAGGCTGGGTGAGTGTGGCTTTATTGTCCCCGTTATCCCTTGCTCAGCAGGAGGAAGCCAGCTGGGATAAGCAATGCCTGAGGGCTGGTGTGGGGTGCCAGGAAGGATTCCCAGCTGGCCCAGCCATCAGCTCCATCTCTTTTGGGAAAAGGAGCTGCTGGGGAGCATCCCTAGGGAATGAGGGGTGGAGGCCACGAGTTTGCAGGTGCAGGGAGTGTTCCTGGTGCTGCTGCACTCCTGCTGTAGCTCGGGGACTGGGATAGTGCTGGCTGGTGTTTGCCAGGCTGTTTGCTGCAGCTGCTGCTCCAGAGGGGAGATTGGAGTTCCAGGATCGCCCAGGAGGGGGTTGGAGTTCCAGGATAGCTCTGGGACAGCCTCCAGGATCCCTTTTTCCTGGGAGGGAGGTGGGATGGGAAGCAGCTGATCCTGGCAGCTCTGCCACTCCCCTGCTCCCAAATGCCCCCCTCGGGACACAGCCTTGGCCTGAAGTGTCAGCTCTGCTGGAATTCTGTCCTGTTGGATTCAGCCAGGAGAATCCAGGCACTTTTAAACCATTTTTGGGACAAACACACTGCAGACCATGGCTGCTCCTTGGGAAAGCTGTTCCCAGTTTCCATGCCCAGGGCTGAACTTTGTCTTTGGCACAGTTTCTCCTTTACCCAGGAGAAATCTTTTTTTAACCCCAGTGAAAATTCCCAGGAGTTTGGGCAGTTCTGGAGCTTTTGGCAAATTTGTATCCTGATGTTCAGCTTCAGCCCCAGGCCATGCAAAACCTGCAAGAACTGTCAGGAATGTTCTCCTTAGGATTTGATGAATTTAAGGAAATGAAATTGTGGAGTTGTCCTGGGTGAACATGGGAGCAGAAACCCTTTGGACATTGAGATATTCACTCCAAACTCCTTTTTCCTAGATGAAGGGCAGGAGGAGAAGGAATCCCCACCTTACTGCAATGACTCAGGTAGGAACAGATCTCTTGAGGGCATTTCTTTTGTTCCTGCCTCTTTAATTACTTGGCTTTTCCTGAGCTCATCTTCTTCTTTTCCCACTAGGAGAGAGCTGCTTGCCACACTGTGAGCACTGCAGGAATGAAAACGTAGGTTTGTGAGGGGAAAAAAAACACCACCCACTTATTTTGCATGAGATCATTTGCAAACTGTCATTCTACTGTCTCCTCACCTTTTTAAAGATAATTTTTTTGTTTTAAAAATCTATTTCCAGGACCAGAAGGAGCAGGTGACCCCCAGGAGACTTGCTGGAGGACAATTTATGTATGAATTTTTTTAATGTAACGGGTTTGAGTTTACATTGTGCTCATCAAGGTGATTCAGTGTTTGCTTGAAGTGGGCAAACAGCTCATTTGCTGCACAAATGCATTTGGATTTACAATGGAGGGCGCACCCAAATCCTTAAAAATCACAGTTTGGAGCCTGTGCTGCCTCCAGATCCAACATTTGGGAGGGTTTTTCAGGATGCTACAATAATTAACAGCAGCCCCATTTTTATGTGCTTATTTCAGCCTGGATGCACATGAGGCATCTTGTCCTGCTCCACCCTGCCCCTGAGCGCTGCGTTTTCCCTCAGATGCGGCGCCTTTCTCCCTCTCTGTGCCCTCGCTGACCTTCCCCACGGGAAATGTTGGCTCTGACACCGAGGGCGGGAAGTTTGATATCAAACCTCCATTTCCAGCTGGTTTTGCCCGGGCTGGGTGAGCCCTCAGTGGTTTTGAACAGCCGGGTGGCAGCTCCAGACCCGCCTGGAGTGCGCTGCGGAGATAAAGCGGGAGGGATCCGCTGCGTTCTCCCGGCCATTCCCGGGGGTTTTGGCCGTCTCTTGCAGGGTGCAGCTGGATGCCGAGGGCTCCTACCAGTGCAGCATCACCGGGCTCATTTTCGAGGTGACGGGCGCCGCCAGGATCACGTATTCCCTGTTGTCCTGGAGCAAATTCGCCCGGCTGGTGGAGAAGCCCTGGATCGTGGGCGGGCCCCTGTTCGACGTGCGCTGCTCGGCGCCCGCCGCGCTGGGCTCCATCCAGTTCCCGCACTGCCTGTGCCTGGGGGGTGAGTCCTGCGGGGCTGGGGCTTGGGAAGGAGCCCCGGGGACCCTCTGGGAGCGCTGAGCCCCGGGCTGTCCCGCAGGTGATGGCGATGCCGTGGCCTTCAAGGTGCTGCACGTCAAGGGCGGCGGCGCGGCCATCGAGCCCTCGGCCGAGTTCTCGGCGTCGCACGTCAAGTGGGTGGTGAGCTCCTTGTCCCCCGTGGGACCCCTGATCCACAGCCAGGAGCCCCTGCACTACCACGGCGTTGTCATCCTCTACAAAGCCGTGGATGAGCACCCCTCCCTGTCCTTCTGGGTCTACCTGGCCACCAACAACCACTCGGTCATCAAGGTACGGAGCCGGCCACGGGGAGGGTGGGCTGAGGGATCCTGGCGTGGTTTGGGTGGGAAGGGAGCTCAAATTTCATCCCATCCCACCCCCTGCCATGGCAGGGGCTCCTTCCACTGTCCCAGGCTGCTCCAAGCCCTGTCCAGCTTTGGGCACTGCCAGGGATCCAGGGGCAGCCACAGCTTCTCTTGGAATTGTATTCCAGGGCCTCTCCACCCTCCCAGGGAAAAATCCCGTCACAAAATCCCATCTAAACCTACAGTCTTTTGAATTTGAAGCCATTCCCCCTTGTTTCTGTCACTCCATCCCTTGTGAATTGTCTCTCTCCCAGCTTTTCCATTCCCATTCTTTATCCGAGTCACTTCTACCACGTAGAGAGAGGAAACAGCCTCAAGTTGTGCCAGAGGAGCTTTAGAGTGGATACTGGGGAAAATTTCTTTGGAAAAAGGATGGTCAAGCCTTGGAACAGGCTGCCCAGGGCACTGGTGGAGTGTCCAGTGAAAATTTGGGGATTTGGGAAAGCAGCTGACAATGGATTCATCCACACGCCACCAGCTCCGCTGCTGCCAAGGGTCACGTCAGAAATAACCTGTGAGGAGAGCAGAGCCTGTCTGACAGAGGCCATGGAACTAACCCTGGATAAAATTCCAGCTTTGGAAAGCTCCTTGCACTGCCCTGCAGCGGGCTAAAATTAGGAAATTTGGTTTGTGGCATCATTCAGGAGCTCTGGCAGGAGCAGGACTTTAATTTACCCCATTACAGTGAGGACAGGGGCAAAACCCTTCCTTTTATTTGGGTTTAAAACTCTTATTCCATTTCACCCCCGTGGCAGAACAGCTGGGGAGGTTCAGTGATGCTGAACACAGGTGTTTAAATGTTAATTCCTTTACTGAATTCAGGAACATTGAACTATGAAGCTTGAAATGGTGTTTTTAAATTTTAGGATATCGAAAATGCTGTAAAACACTCAAAAAGGAAATTTATTCGAATTGAAAAGCCAGCTGTATGCCAAAAATTACTGCAGGAAGGAAAGAAATACAGATTGATCTGTGAGCCAGAAGCTGAAATAACTCCTGGGGTGAGTCCCTGACACAGCCCTCACCTGCTGCACTGCAGCTTCCCTGGAAATATGGCACAAAAAGGAACCATTTGCCACTTAGAGCCCTAAAATTTTGGGATTAAATCCTGATGCTGAAGTCAACAGCAAAACTCTGGGGAAATTGAGTTTGGTTTGGATCTCTCCCATCAGCCAATTGCCTTCTCTTTCGTTTATTTTAGGTAAATATTTGTATTTATTTTATATTTCTGTTGTGTAGGAGATGAAATTTGTGGATGGATCACTCATGAAACTGAAGAGTTACTTTGAGGTGTATTTGGAGAAGCCTGATGACTTCACCTTGTCCCTGGTGGAGGAGGACTCGGATGAGACCATCTGGAAAGCCAGACTCCGAGAGAGTGAGTCCTTGGGAATGAGGGGATGCTCTGGGATGGGGGGACCTTAAAGATCATCCAGTTCCACCCCCAGGGACACCTTCCCTGTCCCAGGTGCTCCAAACCCTGCCCTTGCAGGACGCTACCAGGGATCCTCTGGGAATTCCATCCCAGCCCTTCCCACCCTCCCAGCCAGGAATTCCTTCCCAATATCCCATCCAGCCCTGCCCTCTGGAAGTTTGAATCCATTCCTTGTGTCCTGTCCCTGCAGCCCTTGGGAATTGTCTCTCTCCATGTTTCCTGCAGCTCCTCCAGGCCCTGCAAGGCCACCCTGAGCTCATCCCAAAGCTTCTCCTGGCCAGGTGAACAATCCCAACTCTCCCAGCCTTTCCTCCCAGCAGAGCTGCTCCATCCCTGGGATCATGGAATGGTTTCATTTGGAGCTTAAAGACAATTTAGTTCAACCCTCCTGCATATTATTCCATGTTGTAACGTATTATTCCATATATGAACCAGGGAATTGTATAATATAATATCAAATTGCATATTATTGCATTACAACTTGCAATCTCCCGTGTCTGTTTGGGCCTGCTGCAGCACGTTGGGTAAAAGGGGAAAAAAATCCCATTCCATCAAACCTGAGGGGCTGGAATCCACCCAAGAGCTCTGGGAATTCTTGGAGCTGGACTCTGGCAATTCCACATTTCCCTCCTCTGACCTCTCCCAGGGGATTGGATCCATTATGACCAGAACAAGAACGAGCAGAAGAGGAGCACAGCCAGTGAGTGACCCTGCAGATCCCCTGGGGCTCTTCGTGCCCCCTTTGCTCTGGGGAGAGGGGACAGCAGTGACAGCACCTCTGATCCCTCCCCAGGTGTGAGGAAGAGGAAGCCAACCCTCAACATCCTGGAGGAAGAGGGGCTGCACAGCAAAAAGCAGAAAAGCGGCAGCGTCGCAGGTGGGGCCTGCCTGGGGAAGATCCTGCTTGGGGCTGGTTTTGTGTCCTGAGAGTGAAACCGAGCTCGCTTTTCCCAAGATTGTTTCCCTGTGGAATGCTCCAGGCTCGGGGAAGAGCAGCTGGGAAAGATGTCTGGTGGAAAAGGAGCTGGGAGTGATGGCTGGACACGAGGCAGGGGTGGCCAAGGAGGTCCCCAGGCCCGGGGCAGGGATTGTCCCCTGTGCTGGCCCTGCTGGGGCTCCTCCAGCCCTGGGGCAGTTCTGGGCTCCTCACAAGGAGGTGGAGGGGCTGGAGCGTGTCCAGGGAAGGGAGTGGGGCTGGGAAAGGGGCTGGAGCAGCTGAGGGAACTGGGAAAGGGGCTCAGCCTGGAGAAAAGGGGGATCAGAGGGGATCATGTGGCTCTGCACAACTCCCTGCCAGGAGGGGACAGCCAGGTTTGGGATCTTATCCCAGGGAACAGCGACAGGAGGAGAGGGAACAGCCTTGAGCTGGGCCTGGGGAGGCTCAGGATGGATTTGGGGGAAAATCCAATGCTTTTCAGATGGAATGGGAGCAAAAAGCTTAACAGACAAACAGCTGCTGGAGATCGCCAAGCTCCTGGACCGGCACTGGAGGGAAATGGCCATCGAGTGTCTCCAGATGGAGATGAAGGACATCGAGGACATCCGGGCCATGGAGGAGGAGGTGATCATGCAGAAATTCCAGGTGCTGAGGAAGTGGAGAGACAGGGAACAGGGCAATGGCACTGCAGAGGCTTTGCAGAGGAGCCTCGGGGAAACGGCCACCTACGAGATCCTGCAGGCGCTGCAAGGTATCGGCTCCCTGCTGCTGAGCCCATCCTGGTCCCGCTGGATTTGGGCAGTTCCAGCAGGGAATTCCCCACATCCCCGCTGTGTGGTTTATGGTGGAGGTCACAAATTGGCTCCTTTCCACCTTCAGCACTGACTTTCTAGTTTGTGGTGTTTTTATCCTCCCCTCTGACTGACACAAAACGAGGAATATTTCTGCCCTGGGTGTGGAGAGCACTCCCAGCATGACCTGGGTGTCCAAACCAGTTCTTGGGATTCCTCAGAGGAGCTGCTTGGGTCTTTATTTCAGGAATGGTTAATTAATGGTTAATTAGCACCTTCCTGACTTGGTGGTTCCATCCCCATGTGGGGATGGATTTCCTGAGGGAGCTCCTCCTCCTTTCTGTGGAGTTCTCATGATTTCTGTAAATCCAATTTATTCAAGGAGCTGGGAATTATCCCTGCCCGTGGTAGGGGTTGGAATTAAATGACCTTTAGGGTCCTTTCCAACCCAGACCATTCCTTAATTTTATGAACTCAGACAAGGGGAATTGTCCTCAAAAATCAAATGGATTTTTTTTTTCCTTTGTTTGCAACAGCAAAACTTTGTTCTTTCTTAATTCCTTAATTTAGGAGAAAAGGAAATGGCCTCAGGTTGTGCCAGGGGAGGTTTGGATTGGATATGGGGGAGATTCCTTCCTGGAAAGGCCTGGCACAGTCAGCACCCTGAAGGATTCATCAGATGTGGGGAGGTGGCACCTGGGGACAAAGGGACAGCGCTTGGAAGTGCTGGGGAATGGTCTGAGAGGCCTTTTCCAACCTAATTCCATGATTAATTCTCCCTGGAAACAACCTGGCTGGAAAAGGTGGAGAGCTCTCCTTCCCAGCCTTTGCCACAGCCCCGTGCTGCCTCAGGGAACAGGGGGTTTAATACATTTATTTTCCAACTTAAATACTTTTAAATTCAAATTCTCTCGGTTTGAGTCTCGCAGGAACTTGCAGAGATTCCATAATCCAGGTGTGGTTTTCCCTTCCCTCAGGTTTCTTGGCTCAGAGCTGAGCCAGCTGGAAGGAGGAGGAGGAGGAGGAGGAAGAGGAGGTGGGAGCTTCCCAACCCAACCATTCCGCTCCCCTGGGATCCTGCTGGGATTCAGGAATGCTCGTGGCATCACCACTCCAGAGGGAAGTTCGGGCAGGATCCTCCAGAGAAACGGGAATGGAATTTTGTGTGGATAGAAGCCACTTCCAAGACTCTCAGGAGAGGTGGATCCTGGAATTCTTGGGCTTCACCCACAGGAAAAACCTCTCTGGAAAATCACAAACACTGGAAGGAACCACTTTGATTTTTCTCATCACCTGGAAAATAATTTTATTTCCATCAGGGAAAAACAGGGAGAAAAATTCCCCTGGAAACTTTTATCCCCTTCCAAAAAAAACCCACGAAACTACTGAACTGCCAGAATCTTGAGATGGATTTCTCATGGATCAGGGAAGAATAATCCTAAACTTGCACCAAATTCCTTTGCATAATCACTGTATATATGGAATTATTGTATAGCTCCTGTACATCCAGTCCTTGTTAAGCTGTGGTTCTGCTTCCAGAAATTCCCAAAGTTGGGAACACCGCTATGAACTCCAGGCAGCTCGGAATTTCCCCGTGGAATTTCTTTTTCTGTATAGTTTGTCTCCCATTTTTTACCTTGTATAATTCTTTTTCGTATGAGAAACTTTTTATACTTTTTTTTATTTTTGTTTTTTACTTGATTTATTTGAACTTGGATAGAATTTAGGTGCTTAAAATTTCAGGAGGAGCCGAAATCCCTGTGCTGCAGGATTGGAAAAAAAAATTGGGAAAACTGGAATTTGCAGAAGAGAGGAGTGACCAGATCCAGGATTGTCTTGTTTTTAAGGCCGTGGGATATTTGGGATCATTTTCCTCTGTGTATGTTTGGGAAAAGAAAACATAACTTTAAAAAATAAGGATTAAACAGGAAAAAAATCGATTATTTCCATCTGCATTTTGATTTTTGTTTTAGTTTAGATTTTAGTTTTTAGGTTTTTGATTTTTGTTTAGTTGGATGAAGTGTTGGGAAGTTGTTGGATTTCCTGGGAAGAGGAGGAGGGTGGAATTTGTTCCTCAGCCTCTGGAAAAGCTGGAGGTGCCACCAAAGGGGTTTTTTTTGGGGGATGGAAATCCCAAAATATCCCATCCCATTCCAACCCCTGCCAGGGGCAGGGACATTTTCCCTATCCCAGGTTTTTCCAAGAGGGAAACTTGGATTTCAAACCCCACCAATTACAGGGAATTGCCTTCCCATGCCAGCAATTTCCAAAGTATTTCCAAGGATTCGTGTCGGATCCCAAGGGACAAAAAAACCCCCACAATTTTGGAGGCAACTTTGATTTTATTAGGCAGGAAAGAGAATAAATAGGGAATATCATAAATACATCATGGACTAGAATGGAATATCACCCTAAATAAATCAGGGAATAGAATGGAATATCATCATGAATAAATCAGGGAATAGAATGGAATATCATAATAAATAAATCAGGGAATAGAATGGAATATCACCCTAAATAAATCAGGGAATAGAATGGAATATCATCATGAATAAATCAGGGAATAGAACGGAATATCATCATAAATAAATCAGGGAATAGAATGGAATATCATAATAAATAAATCAGGGAATAGAATGGAATATCATAATAAATAAATCAGGGAATAGAATGGAATATCACCCTAAATAAATCATGGATTAGAATATCCTGAGTTGGAAGGGATTATCATAAACAGCTCTGAATTCCTGGGAAAGCAGCAGAATAAATATGGATAAATCCAAGTCAGGAGCAGCTTGGAGCTCAGCTGGAGCTTCAATCGCCGGATCCCGGGAACCGAGCGCGGTTTGGAACGCACATTTACGGGAATTCCGGGGAATTCTCGCCGGGCGCGGATCCCGCTGTTGTTTCCCGCAGGATCTCTGGGTTCTGGCGGATTCCCGGGATTCAGAGGGAGCTGAGGAAGTTCAGCATCCTGCTGATGGTGACGCTGCGGATGCGCAAGGCCTGGAGCACGCTGCAGAGGCGCAGCCGCGCCGGGAACGGCGCCCATGCCCAGCCCGATGATCCCAATCCCGATGATCCCGATCCCGATGATCCCGATGATCCCAATGATCCCAATGATCCCGATCCCGATGATCCCAATCCCAATGATCCCGATGATCCTGATGATCCCGATCCCGATGATCCCGATGATCCCGATGATCCCGATGATCCCAATGATCCCGATCCCAACGACCCCGATGATACC